CAGGATTAGCCCTATCTTTTATAGGAATAGGAACAGGAATGACAGCCAAAGGAACAGGTTCAGGAGTAAAAAATGGTTCTTGAATCTTGGAAAAAACTTTTGAAGCAACCAAATATGCCGGTCAAGGAATAGAAATGGCCGGTGCAAAATTAAAAGATGGTTCTCAATATTTAAATACTTGGGCCACTAATTCTTTGCGAAAAGAAGAATATCGGGACTTATATTTTGCTGAACCTTATACTTTTTCAGAAAAGATGGTAGAACAGGATTGAGTTTTGGTTAATTAAAAAAGTGGTGGGTAGGTTCTTGAATCGGACAATTCTGCCTGCCCACCTAAAAGTGTAGAACCGCCAGCATCTACTCTCTACTTTAGGGCAGGTAAAACTGCCCATATTGAATTGCCAGATTAAAGTGGTTGAATAATTATTAAATGTTTTGATTTATTTGCGTTTAATTTTGCCATTTTAAACTGCTTTATTCTGGCACTTGAATATGCTACAACTAGAGCAATTACAAAGACAAAACCAAGAATTAAGAAAGCAAATTTTAGAAAATAAAATAAGCGAATTAAAAAAACTAACCGAAGAAGCCATAACAGAGGACACTATGGATGGCTATTATAATTTACTAAAAACTTTCAGAAAAAGTATTGAGGAATTAGTGAAATTGAAAGGGAATGAGGATAACGCTAACAATTTCCTAGCCCGAATGACAGGGGTAGTTCACGACAAAAAGCAATAATCATGGACAAAGAGTGCGTAGCCATTGTAGGCTTTTTAGGAATAATAGTGCTAGGTTTGGTAGCCATGTTAAGAAATTACAAGGCTGAATTTAAAAAAGAAAGCATTAGATTAGAAAAAAACGACCAAAAAGGCGAACAGGATCATAAGCAAAACGAGAAAAGAATAAAGCAGTTAGAAGCCAAAAATGGAGACGGGCAGCATCAAATAGATGAATTAAAAGAAGAAGCGGAAGAGTTAAAGAATATTATTAAAAAATGCCAAAAAAATTGTAAAAATGAAAAAAGGTAATCAACCATATATTAAAAAATGCTTTTTGTCTTGTCAATCATGGCACGCGAAAAAATAAGAATAATGGACACAAAAGGACAATTCAAAATAACCGACAAAGAAAAATTAAAAACCAATTCACTTTTTACCATAGTTCCTGCTACAGAAAAATCCGCAGAACACATTAGCAAACTTTATAAAACAATTGACTATTTACAAGAGATAATAAATAAATTAGAAGCAGAAAATAGGAATTTGCAAGAAAGATTAAATAAATATGAACCAATACCGGAAAGTAATTGATAATTTTTTGCACCACGTTAGTTAGCATAATAAAAGAGGAATAGTTTCTTATAATTAAGAAGAAAAAAATGGTAAAGAGATGAAGAAAATTGAGGAGTTGGGTGAGAAAATAAAAGAATTAGAAAGGAAATTAGATAGTAAACAACCATGATCCAAAAAGAAATAATTAGAACCTGACGAAGAAACACTAGAACCTCAGAAATAGAACCTAAATGTGGAGAAGCTTGCCAACATGGAAACGAAATGGATGATTGTGGAGAATGTTTAGAACCAAAAGGAGAAATAGAAGGTGCCGAGTGTGACCGGTGTGGCAAATGTGGCTGTACCTGCTGACAGGAAAACCAATCCGAAGAACCAGAAGAAATAAGCAAAGATGAAAGAGATAGAAGATGATCACACTATTATTTACTGCTATGACTAACAACAAAACCCAATTGCAAAAAGAAATTAACGAAAAAGTAAAACTAGGCCTAAAACCTTCTGACCTGAAAAAACAAAGGGCAAAGAATAGAACAGTAAAAAATAATATTCCGACTTACTCCGACCAAGGAATACCCACGCCCCCACCAACTCCACCTTTAAAACCCGTTAAGGATAATATTTCTCTAACTGACCCTGAAAACATTCGCAACCCCAACTTTAACCCTCATATTGGCAAAGTTAAAGAACTCCAACAGCAAGTAAAATTTCATGCTAACCAGGCTCAAACATACTTAATTAATTTACAAAAACTAACCGCTGAAAATGATCTGTTAGAAGAGAAAGTAAAAAAAGGAGTAAATTATCAACTAGCCCAGGCTCTAAAAGAGGCTAATGAGAAAATAAGAGAACTAGAAGCAGGTATTAACAAATCTAATACTCTGATTAACGTAAAGGATGAGACAATATCCTTGTACGAGGAAATTATAAATGAATTAGGCGGCAAAAAAGGAGCAAACAACCAAAAGCACAGAAGTCAAATTTTTTCTCGCCTATTGGCTTCTAATTTGCCATCCAAAAAAATAAAAGAAAAAATAGGTGATATTTATAAAAAGTGAGATGATGACGTCGCTTCTAAAATTTTGGTTCAACAAGAACAAAAAAAAATCAAGGCTTATGATGAATTAAACGTCAAGGATTTACCAAAGGACTGGAAAAATCAATTAAAAAAGGCAAAGGAATTAAAGAAATGAACCGAAAAGTTTCCAGATCATACTCCCGAGCAATTGTCCCGAGAAAGACACGAAAATAAGCAGAATGCTCGTCTGTTAAAAGAATGAACTGATAAATTTGCCGAAAAGAAACCGGGGGAAATAGAAAAAGAATTGAAAAATAAGGAGGCTGAAATAACAATATTAAAAAGCCAAGTAACTGAATTAGGAGGAACGGCCGGTGCAAATCCTAGTGAAAAACTAATCGAAAGCAAACTACGGGAGGTAGTAGTAGCCAAAGATTGAAATCTAGGATACTTAATTCAAGTGTTGACTAAATTTTAGAATGAAGAGAATGAGGAACTTCTGAACAAAAAAGAGCATTAGTCAAATATCAGTCAATTATCAACAAGAATATTGATTATTTGTGGCAAAGGGAAAGAAAAATTAGGGACAAGTACAAAATGCAATAAAAAGGACACTTACACGAACCCGAGAGTGCGTGATGTATGTTAGAAATAGCGACCTATTATTAAAAAAATTAAGGCAATAAAAGTGGCCCACCTATTTTTGTCCGTATAAATAAAGGAGTTTAGGAGATTTTAGGGATAAAAATAGTCAAATTAGGCCCACCTTTCTTTTTAGGATAAAATTGTAATTGATATGAACTGAAAAATAATAGAAACCAAATTTGCTGGCATGAGAGAAAATTGCCAAAATTGCGGAGCAAATGGCTACGAATATAAATCAACAACTCCGGGTGCCAATTTTGATAATTATATCTTATATGAAATAGTAAACACCGAAACGAAAGAAACAAAAGAAGTTTGCGACAATTGTAAGGAAAAATTAGGAGTAACTGAAGAAGAAGAAAGTTATTAAAAATGGCAGAGATTTTTAAGTGTGCGTGATGCAAGCATTCTCACGATATATCAGAATTAGAAGCAGTAGGGGAAAATAAACGAGCGGCTGAAACTTATTTAGAAGCCAAAAAGAAGTATGAAACCAAAAGGTCAGAATTGCCATTCCGCAACGATTTAAATGAGGAAGGAAAACGAATTAAAGATCATAAATATCAAAATCTAATCCGGAAAGCATGAGAAGAATTGGGTAATTTAAAAGATATTTGAATATGTGTCAATTGTTTAAGTAACGCAAAGAAGAAAGTTCACAAAACTACTGGCGAGGATAAAACCTATACTTGTGCAGTATGTAAGAATACAATTCAAGGAAAGCCACGCAAAGTTCACATCGCTAACAAAATAAGCATGGGAATAGATCCGCGAAGAATAGCCAAAGTATGTGAGGGATGTTGAGAAAATGAAATAATTCCTGCCGATTTATACTGTCCCCGCACTAGTGATGGTCGGGATACTTTCAATCCTGGTGAAAGCAAATACGACTGCTTATGCGTAGAAAAAGCCAAATATAAAGGGGGAAGACATTTAGATCAGAGAAATTATCATTACGAAGAAAGAGATAAGGATTCAAAAGAATAAGTAAATGATAGAAAAAAGCAAATTAGTTCAGAGAATGAAAAGCAGAAATACGATTTTATACGGTGAACTACCCCTACTTAAAAAAGTAGGAGCTTCCTCGCTGAGGTTTTAACGAAGAGATTATCGCTAATCATGTTCTCGTCTAACGAAGACAGTTCCTGCTCCATTGTTTGTGCTTTATACAAAATATTACGACTAGCATTAATATCTCTATCTGCTTCATATCCACAAACACAAACAAATATTCTATCTTTTAATTCTAAATCCCCTTTAATTGTTTTACAATTGAAGCAAGTTTTAGAAGTATTTTTAGGATTTATTTCAACTACCTGCTTGCCGACTATTACTGCCTTTCAAGCAAGGAAACTCAAAAACAATCTTCATCCAGCATCATTAATGCTTTTTGATAATCCTCAATATTCTTGACACTCAATCATTTTCTTAATCTCTAATTTTTCAACAGCAATGAAATCATAATTGCTTAAAAATCAGTTGACTAATTTGTAAACAAAATCATTTCTTTTGTTGGCAATCTTTTCGTGGAACTTACTAATTCTTGCTTTGTGTTTTAGATATCTTTTGCTGGGTTTAGTTTTATCTTCTTTATTCCTTTTATGTTGTTTTCTACTTCCAATTTTGTTTAGTTTATTCAGTTGAGGTTCAACTGTTCGATAGAATTGAGGAATAGGAACTTTTTCTCCATTGTTAAGAACACAAAAGACATCCAAACCCATATCTATTCCCACTTCTTTACCAGTTTTAGGGAATTGCTTAACTTCTACTTCGCCAGTGAAGCAAACATATCACTTACCATTTTTTAAGAAAAGGGAACAAGTTTCAACTTCTTTGGGCAATGGTCTTTTCTTTTGAGTATGCAAACGAATATTAATTCTTAATTCTCTCTCTCCTCGACCTTGGGAGAGAATCAATTGACCTTTTTCTATTTTGAAACCATGTTGGGGATAAGTAAAAGAACGATAACGATATAAGGGTTTGGCACTTGGCAAGTTTGCTCTTTTGTTATTTTTCTTTCTTTTTTGGAAGTTCTGTCAGATAGCAGGAACTCGTTGTTTAGGAATGTTTTGTAAGACTTGAGAGAAGATTTGTTTGAGTTGAGGTTTTTGTTCTTTGATTTGTCGGACTGCTTTAACTTGGCCGAATTGAGAGGGTTGCTTTTGCTTCTTTTTGTAAGCAGTTATTTTCTCTTTTAAAAGAGTTTTGTTGAGTTGCCAACATTCTCCGAGGATTCAGTTAAAGATTTGTTCTTCCTCTTTGGTAGGATATAGTCTGTATTTGTAAGTTGCTTTAACTTCCATAGTCGCTTGGTTCGAGTTTAATATTCAATAAGTCAGACAATACCAAGCGACTAAACTCTAATTGCCTGACTAATTCAATACTAAAATCTTATTAATCTATTTTACAGCAATTCATCCCCCACCTAGAAGGGGGTGGGGTATTCTTGCTGGGATTTGGATAAAAACCGATCTGCCATTTATTAAAAAATGGCTTTTTACCCTTGACAAACCTTTGATAAGAAAGAAAGATTGTTAATTAACACAATACAATCCAAAACTATCGCTAATAAGTACCCCGATTTCGAAAAATTTTGAGTGGGAGCGAAGATGCAAACTCGATTTTTTGCAGGCTTGCGTACTGATAACAGAGAAAGAATAATAGAATTTACGGCCAAGTGGTTCACCCAAAAAGTTTATGACAAATGAAAAAACAAAGTTTATTATGGAGTCCCAGAAGACTTTTTTGACCGATTTCCTACTGAAATAGCCACTAAATTTCAAGAATTAAAAAGAAAGGAAGATTTATTCCAAAAATTATACCCCAACATTAAGTTAAAGGTAGAGAAATTAATAACTTTAAAAAGCACTGATAAGACCATCGGCAACACCATTAAAGACAGGTTCCAAGATAAAAGCGTGGATAGAACCGTTGACAAAGAAAATCAACGCCAAGAAGGAGAACGAGTAACTAGCAAAGAAACCCCTATCAAAACTGTGGATATGATTGGGGGAGAATATGGCACCCATGATAGCAAAGTAATAACTGAACTAAAAAATACTCGGAGTAATTGATTATCGGCTGAAGCAACTAGAATAACGGGATTAAGAAGTTGAAATAAAGAAAAAAATAGATGAGAAATAAGACCTAATTTAGACCACGGAACTGACAAGTTAACAGAAAGAGATAAAGATCGGGATAAGGGAACACAAAGGGATAATACTACTCGCCTGAGTACCAAGGAGGAACAACCGCAATTTATTCAGCAAATGGCAAAAATCATTGACCAATGTATGTCCCTAGAAATACCAATTGCTGAATATGTAGACAGTTTTTCCCATAATTTTTATGGCTCATTTGGTACAAGTTGTGAATGAAATCCTCTAACTGGAACTTTTGATTATAAGTCTAGTCGCGGAAAAAGAATAATGGGCATTGAAGAAGAAACTCTGGAAAGCGAGGAAGAGAAAAGGAGAAAAAAGCAAAAAGATGAATTTAAAAAATTAACCCTTGATGAATATCAATCCTTAAAAGAAAGAGGAGAACCAGTAGAAGACACATTAGTTTTAGAGAATTTGGTAAGGAGGTATAATGAAACAAAAAGACTCGCCTCTCGTAGTAGTACAACCAAAGAGAATAGAGAAAAAGGTATGAAAGGCCTTATTTTGGCCTTTACCGAAGAGATTATTTGGTCGGATTTAGAGAACTTCGATAAAGTAATGAATGGCATAACTGGATTTACTGAATTTAAGGCCGAATTAAGAAACCGAACCGAAGTAGCCCATTATTATCGTAGCATTGGGAAAAAAATGCCCCAAACCTTTTATTGCTTAGTAGGAAAAGCCGGAGTGGGTAAAACCGAGATCAGCAAAACCTTGGCCAAGGCTTATAAACGTCCACTAGTCATAATTGGTATGGCTGGACAGAACCACACCAAAGTTTTAAAAGGAATGCGACCGACTTTGGATAATGCTTCTTATGGACGAGTGACTGAAGCCTTATGTGAGCAAACTTGGGCAGTATTTAGAACTAAAAAAGAATGGCAAGAGTTACTAAATAAACTAAAAAACAAGGCCAAACCAACTAATAATCAACAGGAGCGGATGAAATATATTGAAAGTGAAATTAAAGCCATTGAGGAGCAAGAAAAGGATAGAGATCGCTTACAAACTGCTTTGAATGCGATTAATCAATATGGTTCCAAAAAAGAACAAATAATGTACCTAAACTTAAAAGAAAGAATAGGCAGATTGTCTGGGAAAGTTTATGCTTTGCCAAGCCAAGCATCGATAATCCTCTTGGATGAATTTGAAAAAGTTAAAGAAGAAACAGTAATGTTTGTGGTAGGACAAATGACCGACCGAGAAATTAACTTTGCCTATTTTGATGAATTTTTAGAATGAGATGTCGATTTAAGCCAAACTATAATCATGCTGACGGCTAACTATTGAGATAGAGTGCCTGACTTTGTTCGTTCTCGTTGTAAAAGGGTAAATATTCAATTATTAAAATTTGAGGAAAGACTAGAAATTTTAAAAAATAGAAGAGATGCTTTTGTCCGGGAATATTTTCCCAGTAGTATTAGAGGAACCGAAAGCATAAATGACATAGAGATAAAGTATGATGAGGATGAATACAACAAGAGGTATGAACCGAATAATTTTACTCCTGACCAACAATTAATAAGAGAAAGGATAAATGATAATTTTTTGAAAATGTGCATTACCGAAGAATTTGGAGTGCGGGGAGGAATTATGAATTTAGTGACTGTTTTTGACTTCCTAATTACTTTTAAAGTGCGAGGATTATTTAATCAGGCCCCTTATTTAGACCAAGTTGCAGAAAAAGAATATGTAACCAATCCAAGCGGGGAAGGAACCCTCAACCTAACTTATGAAATTAATGGAACTAATTATTTATTGCCTTTAACCCAAAAAAGGGATGTTGAAGAAGTAAAAGATAAAAATGGCCGAGTAACAGGTTATGAAAGTGTACTAAATCTAGTAAAAGACTGACAAAAATATGACTGAAAAGAACAAAAATGAGAACCGGGCTATAAAAAGGACTGGAAACCAGAACTGGTAGAAACCCCGGAAGAAGAAAGTGAGCAAAAAGAACGAGTAGCCATAAATTATGAGCAGTCAGACTATCGAGGAATTGAAATTTCCAAAGTTCGCACACATGATTTACTGAATGATGAGGGAGGTTTTTGGATTTATTTTGCCCAAGAAGAAGATATCTATGAGGAAGAGACAAAACGGCTGTGAATTAGCAAGATAGTTGCCGAAGAATTAAAAATTGATCTTGCTTCTACTGACTTTAAAGTTTATTTCTTGAAAAACTTCCTAAAAAGGAGAGTTAAAGAAGAAAGGCTAGAACAGGAAATAAGATCACGCTACCAAAATGTGATTGCGGAGGAGGAGTATGAAAACTTATTGTAATTGATTTCAGCAACATACTCATTAAAAACATAAGCGAGAGAAAATAAAAATTGTAAAATTATTATATATTATATAGCAATAAAATTGTAAACATATGTCAGAGGCTATAAAAAAATGTTCCAGTTGCCAAAATGAAATTCCAGTAGGGAAGCATTATGAACTCTACAGGGGGAATGACAAAACAGGGGATTATTGTTTTCCTTGCTGGGGAAAAGAAAAAAGCAAGTATGAACCATTAATTGAGCAAGGATTATTGAAAGTGCAAGAGAGAGAGAGAGAGAGAGAGAGAGAGAGAGCAGAAACAGAAAAAAGATGGTAATTACCACGGAACAAAAGACCCAAAAAATGAAGGAATTCCGGTTAGAGAGGGAGATAATGAACCCGAAGATAAAAGCGACTTAGAAAGAAGATACTGTGAAAAATGCGACAAATGGTTAAATCATCCTGCTTCTTATGACAAACATAGTTATTATAATGGAGGATTTGCAGAAAGTTGAATAGTATGCCGAACTTGTCAAACTAGGAAAGATTTCTCTGTCACTGACTCCAGACAAACTCTTCACTGTTCTTATTGTGCAAAAAGGGTTAGAATCACGGGAGAAAAAGAACCCAAAACTAATATGGAAAGAATGCTTGCTTTCCATAACACTGCCAACAAAGTTAACCACGATTGTGAAGCGGAATGTTATGAATGTGGAATAAAATTTAAACCGACTGACGCAACTGTTGACCTGCTGTTGGATAAACGTGGTCGTCCTTATTGTATAAATTGCCAAATAAAAAAACTAGAAGAGGGAGACTTTATGAGTGGTAAGATTAAAGAAGAGGATAGAATTATAATAGACAAATTAAAGAAAATAAAAGGTAATTCTCCAACTAATTCAAACAATAGCAACGGCGAAGACAGTGATAATAATAACAATGGAGAAAACGGAAATCAAAATGGTAATCAGACTAGCCAAGCAAATCAAACTTTTTTACCTACTCTAATCCAAATTCAGCAATATTTTACCGCTAATAATATTAATTCGATTACTCAACAGGCTGATGGGAGTTTATTAATTTCTTTCAAACAAACTAGTACTAATAGTTCGCCTCCTCAAACTATTAGTAATGAGGAATTAACTGATGAAAACAATGCTGGTATGGATAATGAACAAAGAACTATGTGACAAAGATTTAAGGATTATTTACAGAAAATAGGGAAAAATAAAATGGATGAGCAGGAATTGGGTCAGAAAATTACGCAGTTTCAACAGGCAAGTAAGCAAGATAATAAGTCTGATAAAATGCCTTGGATAAGTTGGGGAGGAATAATTGTTTTTGTTGGAATTTTAATTACTATCATCTTGATGAAAAAACGTAAAAAAAGAAAGAAAATTTAAATTGCCTATGGTCAAACTATGGAGATATCTAATTAGAATAATTTTTGAAACAATCGCTCCTAATTGGGTATAAATTGGCTTAATTGCTGGGTGGTGATTGGAAAATTTAACTCAAGTATAAGTGCTAATGATAACAATATTAATTAAAAAAATATGGTAAACAAACCTATCAAATTAGAAAATAATTTTAATCTTTACAGTGGTGATATCATTACAATCAATAATAACAATCCTTTACTGGTAGAAGTAGATGATGCAGAAAATCAAACAATTAAATTAAGAAACAATAAGGATGAAAAATATCTTTCAAAAAAATTCTTTTCCATTTCCAGAAAATCACTTGATTTTTCAACTGATTTCGAAGATGCTCTAATTTTCACTGTTAAACAAAACAGTAATGGCGAAATAAGTTTGCAAACAAATGACAGCAAATATTTGAAGTCAGAGGGCAAAAATTTTCGTTTGTCTTCTAAAGAAAGGTTATTGGCCTTAACTAAACAACAAAATACAGAAAATATTGAGGAAATAGAGATTATCAACCTTTATAAAGAAAAAGAGGAAAAAAGTAGCGATGAAGAAGTATTAATTAGTTGCAAATCCTATGATAATAAAACAGATAATCCTCTAGAGTATACTTTCAGTTTTACTGAGTCAATACAAGAAGCACATAATTTTACTTGGTCGGATGACTTCACTGTAGGAGTTTCGGCTAAATTATCATGTTCCTCAATTGTTGGAGCAGAAATTAGTGGGCAATTTCAGGCCAAGTCCGGTACTGCTAATACTATTACAAAAACTGAAACTAAAACTATCCAAGAAAGCCTTAAAGTCAACTGTGCACCATGAAAAAAAACACGGGTTAAATTATTAGCAAAAAAAGTTAAACTGTTTACTCCTTACACTGCAAAAGTTAAAAGAGTGATTGGTGGAAAAAGTTATGATTACTTGATAGATGGTAAATACTCTGGTGATAACTATTCTGAATCTCGCTGTCTTACCGAAGAAATAACCGTCAGAAACATTTTGCTGGTTGGCTGAACTGGAAGTGGTAAATCAACTTTGGCTAATGTATTAAGCAAAGGCGAAGAATTTGCAGAAAGCAATCAATCAACATCAGGAACTAAATGATGCAAAAAAAGCGAGGAATTTGAATGAAAGGAAAATTATTACTGCGTGATTGATAACATTGGCTTTGGTGATGCCGTTGTAGAAGAAAAAGAAGTACTAATTAGAATCGGGGAAGCAATTAATTCTGCTTATCAAGGATTAAGTCACGTATTGTTTATCTTTGGTGGAAGATTTTCTGATAAAGAAAAGGAGAATTTTCGCAAACTAGCAGCCTTAAAAATTACTAATTCTTATATTACCTTAGTAAGAAGTAAATTTAATAATTTTGGTAACAAAAGGGCATGTGAGAGAGATAAGGCGGCATTAGAAAATGAAAGTCCAGAGATAGAACAGTTGCTCAATAATTGCCGAGGACTTTTACATATTAATAATGGTGATGAAGACTCACGCGATAAATCTCGAAAAAAAGTTTTAGGTCATTTACATGATAATTGTTCAAATAACCCTTTTAAACCCAAAGAATGAGAAGATATTAGTAGTTTGATTGAAGATTATTTTAAAGAAAAAGAAAAATTGGAAAATAAAATCAAAGTGAATGTTGAGCAAAAAAAAGCAATTGAGCAACAAATTGATGATCTAAAAACTGAAACTGCTAATCAGATTAAGGAGAAAGCAAAAGGAGAAGAAATTCTTCAAGGACTCATTGAGGTAACTAAGTTAAGTTAAGAATAAAACTAGCAAATAGTAGTGATATTAGAGAATGTATTAGACAAAGGATAATAATTTACAAACACAATAAAAGCATATAACAATACAATAAATAATAAAAATATGAAATTAAATTTACTTTCAATTCAATCAAGATTCTTACTTTTTTATTTCTGAATTTTGGCTAATCTAGAAAAAAGCGAAAGCGGGAGAAATTTCGAACATTGCTTAAATGATATAAATACTGCTGCAGCTAACTATACTGAACTCATTACTAAAATTGCTAATAATGTCAGTAGTCCTGCTAGTGGAACGTTTTGTTGCGATAATAGTGGTTCTTACCGTGATGCAGATTCTTATATAAATAAAAGTATAACTTGTTCACCCTTAATTGCTGACCATAATTATAGTTTTACTAATTATTGTCCTCACAATTATGAAAATACTACTTTTGGTCGTTGCACTAAAATCGATCAATCTTATTTCTGTGTTACTTACGATCCTTTTTTCTCAGTTTTGGGTCGTCCACTTGATTGACGACTTGGCGATCAAATATTATGTGGAGGTAGACTAGGTGATAATTCAATAACCACCAACATTACTACTGGAACTGGATCGGATTATTTTCTCGACTATCTTGCTCGATGCTTAACTGAAATTACTAGTAGCTTTTCAACAATGTGTTGTGATGGTGGTGATTGTTCGGTAAGAGATTTAAGAGATGTAAAATATGGTAGGGCACTTTCAACTGATGTCGCTTGTTTTAGTAATTTTTGCAGTTTTATGTGTTTTCAAGATAATGATGGTTGAACTTGTACTGGTAGTAGCATTGAACAAATAAATCTTTATCCCTTAGGTTATATTGCTAATGGCACTTATAATGCTAATAGTGGATGGAAAAATTATCCAACATCCTTTAGTAAGTTTACTTTTATTGGCGACCTTAATTTACAAATTAAATTACCTCCAAAAACAAATTCTTCTCCTAGTAATCCTAACTTACCCCAAATACTCATTCCAGTCGGAGTCGGAACTGGAGTCACAGTTATTGTAATAGGTGGAGTAACTTACTATTATTGTGTAAAAGGAGAAAAAAAACAACAAACTGATGAGAACATAACTCTTTTGAATAATCCCTTTCTAAATGATAATCAAAACAATATCAAAAATATTCTCCTTATTGGTTCAACTGGCAAAGGAAAATCCACTCTGGCTAATGTAATAACTGGTCTAGAAAATAAGTTTAAAGAAAGTGATGGTAGTGTCAGTGAAACCAGAGAAATTCAGTTTGAGAAATTTACTGATAAGGAAAATAATATCAATTACTGAGTGATTGACACAGTAGGAATTGGCGATACCAAATTAAAAAGAGAAGAGGTATTAGATAAAATAGCCGAAGCTGTTTACTTAGTCAAAGATGGCGTCAGTCAAGTCTTTTTTGTTATTGGTAACAAATTTGACCAGCGTGAAATGGAAAATTATGATTTGTTAAGAACCATAATTTTTGATAATGAGATTGTTAATCATACTACTATTGTCCGAAACTGCTTTGAAAATTTCAAAGAACCGGAAGAATGTAAAAAAGACATTGACTCAATGATTAAAGAGGGTGGTAAATTAGCAGGAATAATTGAATCTCGCCAAGAAAAAGTTATTCACATTGATAATCCACCTTTAAATCATCTTCCCGACGATGCTGAAGATGAAGAAGAAAGAAAAAAAGTGGAAGAAAAAACTGCGAAAAAAACTCAACGCAGTAAAGAAGAAAGAACTGAATCAAGGAGAATAATACTAAATCATCTACATAATAATTGTCAAGGAACTCCGTACAAGCCCTCTAAATTGCAAAATTTAAGTAGTAAAATTTCTGATTACATGGAGCAAAAATTAAATTTTAAAAAGGAACTGAGAAAATTAGACAATGAAGCCAACAATCGAAATTCTATAATAGTCGAAGATAACGAAGATATACTTAGCGATATTTCCACGGATGATAAGAGCAAACTAAATATCGCCGAAGAAAATAAAAAAAGAAAAGAACAAATAAAGGAAAGCAGAGCAGGGATAGAAAATTTAAGAAGTAGTATAAAAGGATTAGAAGAAATCATTCAAGGAAGAGAAAAGGCTATTCGGCAAGAAGTTTTAAAGCACATCTTCAATAATTGTGATGAGATCAAAGAAACATCGGGAGGCGATGACTTTATTACTAAGACCTTGGGAGACAATATTAATACTGACGACTGAAAAAATATTAATGAAAGTTTTAATGAGGAATTAATTAAAGAATGAATAAGTGAAGGATTTAATTATCGGCAAACCCAAGAATGATCCGCAGTTTTGGAAGAAAATTTTGAACTAACTGACGCAGATTTTTATGCCTGGTTAAGGAACCACAAGAAACTAATGACCGAAGAAATAGGAAAATTGGACAGCGATCGTTATAAACAATTGAAAAGCGAGCATACTCAGTGACTAGAGAAAAAAAAGGAGATACTTGATAAATATAATAAAAAACTAGAACAAAACAAAACCAAAAAAATAGTTAGTGCTTTAGAACTTTTCCTAGGGTCAGAAAAAAAATTAGTGAAAAAATTAATCAAGGCTCAATTAGCGTTTACACGAGCAGAAAAAGACCAAGATTCCGATATTAGAACGCTCCGAAAAGAATTTAATAATCTTTACAGCGAAATTGATGAAAAGTTAAATGATGAAAAAACTATGAAAAGAATAGAAACTATTTTAGCGGATTGTAGGGAATTAGTGAATCAAAGTGAGGATGACAAATCATTATTACAAGAAATAAAAGCACTAGAAGCAGAATTAGAACAGTCAGAGTCAACAGTTGAGGAGAGTCAAGTCGAAACAGTGATTGAGATTCCTCCTAAATAAAAAAGGGGAGTTACAAACTCCCCTTATCTAATAAGTACTTCATTTGTGACTTATTTATTAGATAAAACTAATTCCCCTCTCATATTTTCTCTTCAACAATAAAACAACAAAAGAAATAGAACATGAAACAGAATGCAGCGAAAATCCTCCAATTGAAAGACTTTGAGAATGAAAGGGATGGTTTGCATCCGTTTTTCAAAAGTAATTTTTCTAGTATTTTTTCAGGTTTAGTTTTTTTGCAAGATGAATGACCAATACCAAAGAACAAACAATTCAAAAGCGAAAGAGATAAAATTGACACCCTGGCTTTTTACCCAAATGAAAAAGGAAAATTAGAAAGATTAGCACTTGTGGAATACAAATGAGCAGAAAAATCTACCAAAATAAACAATTCTGTATCTCAAGTATGAAATTATTGGACAGTTTTAAAAGAAGAAGAATATAACGCTTATGTGATATGGGAAGAATTATATGGAGAACACTTAACAGAAAGAGGCAAAAAAGATGACGATTACAAAAGCATTAAAAAAGATTTAAAAAATAGGCTTTGAAAAAATCCCATTCTTATCTGCGTATCTAATCTTGATTATTTTGAAGAATGACAAAAAAGAGAAGCGAGAGAGAGAAAAATTATTCTAGTAGAAGTTAGAAAATATGAAGATGAGGAAAGCATTTTGCTGCTAGTTAAAGTGGTAGAGGGAAATCATGGAGAATTGGGACTAGAAACAAAGGAATTAATTATTAAATTACCAAAAAGAAAGAAAAGAATACAACCACAAGTAAGTAGTCAGCAACAAACAACAACCAAAATTGAATTACCGCCCACCCGAGCGTGAGTGATAGCAGGCAAAAATAACACCAAAAATACTGAAAACTGAAATTCTCCCCAAAATGAAGTTTCCCAAAGTGAAAAAAGTGAGTTGGATGAATTTTTAAGAGGATGAAAATTAGATAAATGAGTAAAAGAGAAAATAGAAAAGATTCATAAACATATTCTCTTACTTAATAAATCAATAAAAATAAAAGGAAAACCGCTTCTTCCGTGAAAAAATAGGTATGGGTGCTTTAATTATTACATAGGAAAGAAACAAAAGTCTTTTTTATCTATTTGCCCCCGCAACCAAAAAAAAGAGTTTGCTATCCTCTTTTTAAAAAAGTCAGAAAAGCAAGAGGTAACTGACGAAATTTGAAAATTAAATGATAAAAAAGGCGGGCATTACAGAGATTTTGAGTGGAAGATTACGTTAAAAAGCGAAGAAGATTACAAAAACTTCAAAAACTCATTAGGAGATTACATGAATAAAATCAAAGAAAAAAAGCAAAATAAATAGCGAAATTAGGACAAAAACACTCCCCTTTCTCTCTCTTTCTCTGTAAATGTAAAATGTATTTAATGAGCGAAAGACAAAAAAAAATCTACCAGGAAAAAAACAGAGAAGACCAATACAATGAAGAATGTAGCCAGTGTGCGGTAAAAATCGATGGAAAAGTTTGAGAAATTTTTTGAGTAGAGGACAATTACTTTGTCGAGTATGAAGGGTATGCTTGCGATAATTGTGTAGTAGGATTACCCGAAGTAGACCCTACGGCAGATTGACGGCGGTAACGATTGACAACAAATTCCTCTAAACCAAAACCCACTAAAAATCCTTAACCATACTACAAAACCCCCCAACAAAGGACAATATATTCGCTAAAGTTAACAAAATGTTTAAAGACAGTTAAAAAAAATGATTTAAAGCATTAATTCCTCAATGGGAGCAATCATGCTGGCAATTCATTTCCCTTATTAGATTCACCTTAAAAAGCATGAACTACTCCCATTCAAAAGTTAGTTCTACAAACATTTCATAATTAAATTAACAAAATGAAAGAACCCTTACTAATCAAACCTGGCAAAGAAATAATAGCAGAGTTAGATCAATGTTGTAGCAAAGAAAAAAATTTGACTGATGCTTGGGAAAATAAAGAAAAAAACCAAATCTGCCTTGCTCATTCTTGCGATATTTGTGGAAATCTAGCATTTTCTTTGGAAAACAGCCACAACCAAAAATTAAGTGAAGACAATACCAACAAATAAGGAAAATTGGGGGGATTAAGTATCGAAAAATAGAGAATAACAATCACTCGTAATTTTCACAAATTAAAAAACAAACATCCCTCATATGCCTCTCTACATGCTGAATATACTGTAAAATGTATATTGATATCAAAAACGATAAAAAAACCGAACTGCCATTTATTTAAGCAATTAATCAAATGACAGAAGAAAATAAAAATTTAACCACAACAATAACAGACAGTGACGACTTAACTCAAAAAAGTGACGCTCAAGAAATAGCCACTTTTGCTGAAAAAGCCAAAGCTGCAGTAGTAACAGTAGAAAAAGAAAGAGATGAATACCGCCGGCTTTATGTAGCCGCTAATGGTGAAGTGTTAGGTTTAAAGCAAGAAATC